AAGCAATAGATTAATAGATGGAAGATATGGAGACTTCCTAGTTTATCAGCCCACTGGAGTGGGAAGGAGAGTGCATGAATGAAGAGTAGAAGAGAAATAATGGATTTATTGTTCAACAAGAAAGAAAAAAACATATTATGCAATTAGATTCACTGTAGAGGCCTAGTGTTTCTCTCACAGAGTTGTCTGTCTCACAAAGCATCTCACTCTCTATGCCATGATATATTAGACTATGTGCTGTATTTTACATTTCTGTCATTTAAACCTGTCATCAGTAGACCTCTTGCAATTATCAGTTTGAAAGGTTTGTCTAGCCCAGACTCCAGAGTTGGTAACTGGGAAAAAAAGACAGATTCCATCCAGAACAAATACTGAAAGACACAGTCTATACCAAAGTCAAAGAGACTGTGATGTTAGTGCTGGGATTATGTAGACTGACTGTCTGCAAAAGGAACACAGAATTTCTCCCTGTCATTTATTCCTTGAAGACATGTCATCTCAAGGAGTTGGTGCATATCTATCTCAAAATGTATCAGGATAGATATGAAAACTTCACGCAACACAGAAGCTAGCACACTCCTAAATCTGTAATTCCAATAAATCCTTACCATCATTGGTTAAAATACAGAATATTATTCTTAGGTTTAATTTAAGAGGTTACTAATTTCAGTCATTAGATCTTATTATTTCTCCTACAGTTAGCCTCTTAATCATACAGTCTTTTATTTGTGTAGATACTTCTACACTACAATTAGAAAAAATATCTTTATAAACCCAACATCTCTCATGGAATTTCCAGCAAGATTTCTAGATTTTTAATGGTTCTTTTGTAATTCTTTCTGAAGTTCCTTCATACTATTTATATTCTTTACATGTACTACATTCACATTCATTAGTTTTCTTGGGTGTACCATTATAGGAACTCAATAGCAGCTGTAACTACAGGTTTCTCAATCTGTTCCATTTTGCATTTATGCTTCTCAGATGTCTACAAATATCAAAGCAAATTTTTCTTTAAAAAATGAGACAAAATACTTAAAATAGACATAATACTACTTTCATAGAATACAGCACCTTGTTTGGTTTTTTTAGTTTACATATTCCAAAATTATGATTTGCCCTCACATATAAAGCCACAACTATATCAAAACAGAATGAAATTAATCAGGTATTTTAAAACATAGTGGGCCAGAACTGGACCAGCTCTTGAGGAGCAAATGTAATGATGTCAATGCATTTGATGTTCTGAAGAGATTTTAAATATGTAAATTCATAGCAAATTAGTATGCACTCTAGTCAGCAGCATGGAAGATTACTTTTGTACATAAGCTATTCTGTCTTTGTCCTTTATGGAAATAATAATTTTCCTATAGCTTTGCCAGTAAATTTTCCTATTATAGAAGCAATGCAAACTGGTGAACTCAAACAGGCAATTTTGTATTTAATCCCTTAAAGTTCTCCAACGAAATAAACTTCCAGATTTCTTCACTGGTGTAACTGTAACTATATTCACACCTTTGGGAAATGAGTATGACATGAATCTCACACCAAGTCAACATTCTTATTTTGACAGTTTTCTAACTACAACATTTATCTACGTCAATGTAAGATTAATTTATGGGGAAATGGAATTAAACAACATGATAGCAAAGTATGTAGAAGTTATTCAGTAAGGTCAGACAAGTTCAGAGAGCACTCTGATGAACTTTAAAAGCCAGATGAATTCATGACACAACAGCAGTTGGTAAATCTAAAGTAAAAGACATTGGGGAAAAAATCTGAAAAAACTGTGCATCTCACAGGGTTCTACGTGTATTGTATAAACCCAGTAAAGTTCTCATTATAGAGAAGCCAGTGAAAAGTATTTCCTGTATAAGGCTCAGTTAAAGAGTATGGCAGAAAATGCAGAGAGAAAATCCGTTACTTTTATGCTATGAGCGTATCACTTTTAATTGTCATAAAAAAAAAAAAAAAAAAAAAAAAAGATAATCCACGAAAATGTAGAAAGAACAGTCTTTTGATTGCAAGGTTTCCCAATCCAATATCGGGGAGGGTTCTTAAATGATACCAAGAGCAAGATTAAGACACAAACAAGGTCAGATGCCATACAACCTTGTGAACTTCATTTTCTGTAACAACAGATAATAGTGATAGGACAGAGAGAAAAAGAAAGGAAAAGTCAGAATACCTAAGCAAGCAAACAGTAGAGATGGAGCAAGATTAATTACCACCACCATGAATCCAGTGACATCCTGTTGGCTTGGTCTTGGTGCAGGTGATGGTGCTGCAAGCTCCAAACTCCACCAAAGTCCCAGCTCCAAGGAAAAGCACGCAGTCCTTTTATTGCCTTTTATTGCCCCAGTCCCTACAATTTCTCCTGAGTCCGCCCATTTCCATGGAGCTCATTGTAATACATGCTGCCCCATGTTCTTCCATGTGTGCATGCCCAGGTGTTCACAGTGGTCGTACTGGCGGGGGGGGCGACCTGCGGCGTCTTCAGCCTCTGCACGTCTTCCTCACCCTGATTTCCTCTCCACCCGGTTAGCAAGCAGGTGCAGCCTGGTAGGCACTCTCAAGGATGTTGTTGTTTCAGCTGCGGGTGGATATCGTGGTTTCTTCACGGACAATTCATCTCCTTCAGAACGTAGTCCTCCACAGTGACAGGATGCTGAAGCCAGGAAGTGGTAGTGGTGCAGCAGCAATGTTGAGACAGTCTAATACAGTCCCTGACACAAGTTAAGCAAATTTTCTACAAAATATGACTGAAATAATTGGGATGTCTTAATTCGCAACAGGAAAAAACATGAGAATAAATCTCAAACATAAAAGGATGTGATAAAAAGTATTCAGTATTGGATGAGATTAAAAAAAAGTAAATTGAGGACAACTCCTTATGTCCTAATGAAAGCATAAATAAGCTATTTGAAGAAGTCAAAGGTGGAAACTTCAAAACTGATGAGATGTGTTGTGACATGAATCATAGTTCCACTGTGAAATTCTCTGCAAAATACAACTCTACTTATGTGTGAAGGTAAGAGAGTTTGTGCATTTAGACACCAATTATATACATATGCATGTGTATAGAAATATTAACACACCTAAACTTTCTTTGAATATGATTAAGATTTTAGCCCAACAAGAATTTGATTTTCTATTTAACTTTGCACTAAGTAAAGAGTATATACATAAAAAGCTACAGTACAGTATTGTTATAACAAATTTTAGCAAATACTATTTTGACAATGTAAACCTGTTTGTTCAGGATTTAAGAATATTTATATCTATTAGATAATAAGGTAAAACAAAACAAAACAAAACAAACAACAAACAAGCACACAAACAACAACAACAAAACAAAACAAAACAAAAACCACCACAACTACAGCGTATTATCCCCTGATTGCAAACACTAACACATGTTCCCACATGTTTGCTGCTTGTGTTCTGAGATAAACTATTGAGCTATATAGATCATGAGTTCAATTTAATATCCACTTTAATATCGTGGGAAAAATATAGGTGAAACATGATTGAATAAAAAGCATTTATAAGCAAGAGTCTTCATACCAGAAGAAACTGGAGAATGAGTTCACATGAGGTTCTACAGAAAAAGACAAGGCTCCGACTTTATAAGAAGGAAAATTTTAGTAAGAGTTACTAGAGTTTTTCTTTAAAAAAAAAAAAAGAAACAAACAAAACAAAACCTGAAACCAACACTCAAAGTGCAGGAACACTTTCTGTGAACACTGAGATGAGACTCAGACTCATTGATAGATATGGTTTTAAAGACTAAGCTTTGAATGAACGACTTTTGTGAAAAAGAACAAAACACTTCTACACAAAAAATGGAAACTTTGCATTGATTTAAATAAATTGTATCCTTTTCTGCAAGAAATACTTAAACCCATTCTCTGAAACTTTAATGATCTACTGTTTTCTGACTATTTGGTGAGTTCAAATAAAGTGCAATGGAGTGGGAAAAGACACATTTATTTAGGATTGGATTTAGCCTGAGATTTTTCAGAACAGTGCTCATTTGGGATCATGGAGTCATAGAATGGAATTGCTGAACTGAGTATTGTAACAAATAGTGCTGAGTTGTAACTTATCTTCCAGAGACTTCTAAGCTTAACTGAAGATACTGTGAGATAGAGAATTCATCAGGTCCTTTGAATGGGTGATTAAAAACCTGCATAGTTAAAATTTTGTTTCTTATTTTAATTTTTCCTACTTCGTGTTCCATGTTTTACATTTTATTTGTTTTACTTTTCTTCACTAGATAAAAGAATCCTTATATATCCAACATTATTTTCCTGTGAAGGTACCCATTCTCTTGTTATTTCTTTTTCTTAAGGTAAATTTATGAAGCAGTTTAAGTTTCTCACTGTAAGTTACTTGCTTAAGCATTTTAATATGCTTTTTGATTCTGTGTCAGTCCATTATGCTTCCTGTTAGTGGAAAATTGTGCATTTTCTTCTACAAAATTGACAAAAACACTGAAATAATTTTTGATTAAGTCTGAATCAGACTTCATTCCATTTCCTATGGAATTCTGGTAGGAGCAATTACATTCAGTGAAAACCCCTTTAGGTGGACAATAATTTGAGATCTATCAGGTTTCCAGTCCATAATTAATCATGTACTTTAATGACATTCTAAAGATATTTTAAAGATCTAATTCACGATCAGAATGTTGTGAGTTAAACAGTATACAGAAATCTAAGACTATCACATCATTGACAGGTTATTCTAGGAAGCAAGCAATCTTCTCAAGGAATGAAATTAGGTTTGTTTGACAAGACCTATTTTTCATAAAGCCATGTGCAGTGGTATTAATTTTATTCTTGCTTGTTAATCTTTAATTAATCAAATCTCAAATCAGTGTTTCCATTTTCACTTTGAATATGCAAGTTCATTTGTTACTTGTGTTATGGAAAACTCTTTTACTCTTGATAGAGAAAGCATACTTTTATCTTCTCTCACTCTCTCCTCCATTTTAGGAGTTACAGTGCTTGAAGGGCCTATTTATGCAGTGGGAGGACATGATGGTTGGAGTTATTTGAATACAGTTGAGAGGTGGGACCCTCAAAGTCAGCAGTGGACATTTGTGGCAAGTATGTCAATTGCCAGAAGCACTGTTGGAGTAGCAGCTTTAAATGGCAAGTGAGTAGGGTATTCTTACATGGTTGAAACACATTTCTTGGAGGGATGAATAACTGTCACAGTAGTAAATAACTTTTAACATACTGTAATAGAGGGTGTCTTTTAAAATAAATGTAGACACAGTTGTGCACCTCTCCATATATCTCATGGCACTTACATTTACTTGAAATAAGTAATTTATATTTTTTCTTCATTAATTTTGTTTAATATTTATATCAAATTCTTAAGACTATAGACCTGACATGTCAGTGTGTAAGGTATAAACCAATTCAGGACAAATTGTCAGTTGATTCATCTGACTTTTATGTTGTATATGTCAGTTCTAGTTAACCAACCAAGTTTATCCATCTAATATAGTCATGTACCCAGTGATAAGATTTGTTGTGTGTGCATTTTATACTTGGATTCAGCCAAACGCTGACCAATGAAACCTTTTTTGTCTGAATGCAACTACATTCACACTGCAAGTAAACAGAAATTTGATTCTTCTCAAAACAATCAGACTACATTAAACCTGTAATTTCTAATTGTGCTCAGTTTCATAGTTTCTCTTTTATAACTTTCACTTTTAAAAAATTTATTGTGGCACTTATTAAAACTCATTTATAGTAACTTACTATTATGTATTACTTGTTGCTTATAATTTGTAAAGTACTTGCTTTTAGCTATGTGACGAAAAAGACTGTGGTGTGAACTGTAATAAAACATAGGTGGGGAAGGAAATAATGACACACAACTTCAGTTATTTTTGTATAGGCCTCTACAGCTAAGACAATCATCCTAATTTCCTAATGGAAGAAAGATGTACTTTTAGGATATCCTTTGTCTTACTTATTTTAGACATTTGTGTTAGGACGGCATGAATTGTGCTTTGTAAGTGTCCATTTTTCTCTACTAACTATATAGGAAACCTGAGGACTGTCTCAGATTCTGACTTCTATATTTTTGATATTTAAGGTGAATCCCACTGTAGTCAACAGAATATAAATAAAGGGCTGTCAGTAAAGAATCCCTTGGGAATAGTGGGAGCAATGGAATAAGGCAAATTTCTGGCATATTATTTTCCTCATACTTTATTGCTACTGAACAGCAAGGAAGAAAGGATGTGAGATGGAATGAGAAAGAAAATATTGAGGCCATTAAAAAAATAGTTAATAAAATTTGGGAGATAAAGTATAGAGGGAAAAAAGGATTTATTAAGGCTATTGGGTTTCATGGTAGACTATGCTATTGTATAATTGAACAACGCACTAAATTTTGCCTACCCTATTTCTTCCAGTTGAAAATTATTCAGTTTTATTATACAGTTGGAAAAACTCTCAGAAATCCTTTATATTAAGTTGTGCTTATCAGACCTAAGATACAGGCTTGAGATAAGTAGGGTGAATTGATTTCTGGCATAGTCAGACTCTTTCTATTGACTACAAGATTCACTGAAACAAGAAGTTTAATTTAATCCCAAAACCAACTATGTTAGAAGAACTATAGGAAATTGTGTACCTTTCTGCAGCAGCAGCAGGAGGTCTGACAGAGTACCCATAATCCCATCATTATAAAAATATGTAGGTATTATTTTTTTAAAATAGAATCTCAAATTAATTAAAACTACAGGCTTTAAAATGTTAACTAATTTTATGAGTTTGTCATCTTATGGTTGTGTCCTATTTGCAGAATAACTCTGGATTAAATAGGCTTTATTGGAAGTATTAATTATTAATATTATAATATTTGATTTATAGTATTTTATACCTACCACTAAGGCTAAGCTGTCATTGCTTTCTCTTACTAAGTCATGCTGGCATTGAAATGTTCCAGAGTAGACCAAATGGACAAATATGCTTTAATAATCCTGTTACTCTAAAAGAACGTGGTTTTGATAGTGCATAAGCCATGCAGCCAACTAGCAGAGACAAGATCTAGGCAAATAATCCTGCAAATATAGATCTAAAATGATGAAGAGGTACATGTGGTTATGTATATATATTCCAGGTATGTTTCTTTTGCTCAGCTGAGCATGTATTTAATGCTTAGTTAATAAATGGTTAACTGAATTTTGCATGAATTGCATAAGAACACCTTTAAATGAAAAGTGGATTGGACACAGCTGGAAACTGAAAAGCAGTGGTCTCACTGAAACAAATATACTACTGATTTTTTTTTTTTTTTTTTTTTTTTTTTTCGTCTTTAAAAAATATTCCATATGCCAAGAACTGGGACTTGAAAACATATGTAAGGACCAAAACTTGCAAGTCTGGTGCTATTCTTACTACACTGCTGTTCCACACAACTGACATATGCTGCATTCCTCATCTGAACTTTTCACTTTGAAATAGGAAAACAAATATGGATTCATTTTTGTAGTAAAGAAATTCCAAGGATATTATAAATGGATGTCTCAATGGCAAGCAAGAGATTGGCTTTAATATTTGACAAAGGAGAAACTATTTTTTAGCATAGAAGTTTTGAGGAATCTTTTCCTGGTTATTTCTTATGTTCCTTTTCTTCTGCACTGAATTAAATAAGTAAAATAAATAAAATGCAGCAGGGTTAGACTACCTTTGAAGTGAGAGAGTTAGAAGCTATTCTACGGGTGTATATATCTCCCACAGTGCTTTGGGCACTTTACATAAAAGGGATTCTGTATGCTAAATATTTCAAATGTGAGCTTCTTAAATACTTCAAAAAAGATTGTCTCTTCTTTTGTGTGTTAATGATGGAAACTATCCCATTTGTGTTCTTCTCTACATCTAAGGTCCACTTCATTGGTTTTCCAGTTTAAACCATTTTAAGCAGAAAAAAAATGATATATTTTACCATAAAATTGGTTTAAAATTGCCTTTTGCTATAAGCTTATGGTGGAAATTCTGATTCTGATCTCCTCAGGATCTAAGATGACTAAGTAAATTCTTATTAGTTCTTAATTTATTGAACCTTTTTATGATTACTTACTTTTTGAAGCTCACTCATATCTGTACAAGTCAATGATAAATTATTTTGCTTCTCAAACAAATGGAAAGCAATACTATCTGTATTTGGCAAAAGAGGGCACACAGAAATTAATATTACTTCACTATTTAAATTTAAACTGAAAATGCTATATTATATCAAAATCTTCCCTAAAAGCTGAAAAAGATTGTGTCAGCGTGTGCATCATAATCCAGTCTGAAAAAAACTTTTAATTATTGAAGCCATAAAATCCTGCTGAATTTATCATAAATTCAGGAAAAAAAAAAAAAAGAGTACTTTTTTTTGTATAATCAGGTTGCATTATTACATTTTGAGGTCACCGTACTGTTTCACCCATGAATGGAACATCTTCCTCTCCCAGCACGAATGTCACCTGCTTGTTACCCTCAGAGTTCCCACAATAATAAGATACAGTAGTTACTATCCTTCAGTCAGGAACACAAACAATATCTCTTTTCTTAAGTTGCTTCCTAAATGTAAGGGGCAGCTAGAACAACTAATAGAAGGGATAGGTGGTTTTCTAGCTAAAAGAAAGACACATACCAGATTTATTCTACCAGAATTTCAATAAAGCAGTTTATCTGGCATTACACAGGAAATAATTACTTAAAATAAAAAAAAAAAATAGTACAGGTATTTTAAGAAGAAAAGAACTCTATGTCACAACTAGGATTTCACAAAGTTACTGCTGGAATTCTTTAAAAATCTTTAAAGATCAGCTTTGGTATGAAGGAGTGTAACAGAAGGAGCACACTAGTTAAATTATCAGACCATTCAAAGTGACATCAGAGGGAACCTTATCATATGGGGCATGTTGGACTATTCTACAGAAGTATTTGGATGACCCTAAGAAGCAACACAAATTGAATATTTAATAGTATACATGTGAATGCACAAGTCTTGTGAAGACAGAAAAAAAGCTCTGTACCTTGTACAAAGAAAGCAGTAGAAGAAATCTGGGGGGAAAAAAAAAAAAAGAAAATGCAACTGAGAAATGCATAAAGTTTTATTCATTGTGAAAATATTTATGCTATTTGGATTACTGTGTTCATTTCTGGTTATTCATACTGAAGGAAGTTTAACTGAAATTGTGAAGTTAGAATAGGGGGTACCACGACTATTAAGAATGCCTGTCATACCAAAGAAAAGCAACAGAAGTATTACAGTTGGAAAAGGAACAGATGGATAGAAATAGATACAATTCAGATGGCAGAGAGAGAATAAAAAAGATAGGGAGATAGGAAGCTGTACACAAAATTCTCATCAGGTTCTAAATGCATGTTTATAGGTTCATGGAAAGGGTAATATTACCTGTTTTCATGTGACACCAAAGATTGGATTCCAATAATTTTCCTTTTCAGTAACATTTTATTTCCCCAAATCAACACTTGGTGCTGTGTAGCAGTAATGATCTGTGTTGAGGCTTTGGAGCGTCCATCTCCTTCATCCGTACACCTTTCTTATAATTAAACAGTAATGAAGTGTGGAGATTTTTAGCCTTACTATACTTTTTTTTAAAAAAAACTTGATATCTTTATCAATTTTTAATATACTTTGGTAGCTACTCTAGGACTTGCTATAACTGTAAAGTTTCATGGGATGAAACATGGTCAGTAGTCTCTCCTGATTCGGAAATAGCATAGTCTTTTCTGTCTTGTTACTGTTAACAACCCTGTTACACAGACTGGAAATTAGAGTGTATGTACTCTCTCACATCACCAGTAGATGTGGGTGTTAAGACATTAAATGTGAAATGGAGATTTACACTTAAAAAAAAAAAATCAGGAAAGGATAGTGCTTTTTCTATGCAGATAACAGGAGAGGTCAGAAGTTGGGATAATTTCAATGGTTCTTTGGGGGATGACATAAGTGACATGTAGCTAGTATGCAACATATGCAATATAAAACTAGTATTCTACAGTTTACAGGAGGTAATACTGAAGTCGAAATATTCTTCTACAATGTAAGTCAGAAGCACTAAGGAATCAAAAGTATGAAAAGAATCTTACTTTTTCCAGAAACTTCTTAAAACT